AACAATAAATGAACAAAAGAATTAGAACTTTAAAAAAAAAGCAGAAATTATAATTTACAAAATAATAAATGAAAAAACAGAACTTAGAAAAAAAAATCGGAACTTAGAAGTTTTCAAAAAAAAAAAAAATCGGAACTTAGAATAAGAATCAAAAATACAAATACCTTATATCGTCCGTGAGTAGAATATGACAGATCTACAAAAAAAAAAGAAAAAAAAATTAGAACTTCCAAAAAAAGCAAAAATTAATCAATTACATTGCAAACGAATCATTCGGAATAAATGAACAAAAGAATTAGAACTTCCAAAAAAAAAAGATGAAATTTTAAGAATAAATGAAAATACAGAACTTACAAAATTAAATAAATAAAAAATGGTAGGATCGTTGTTCGTCATTCAAGAGATTCAGAGGCAGAGGGATGATGAAGAGGGAGATTCAGAGACGTGAGAAATAGGAGAGATTCAGATGAAGAGGGAGATAGAAGGATTCAGATGAAGAGGGAGATAGCTTAGGAAGTTAGGAGAGAGAGCCGTTTGAGATTTTGATGAAATGAGGCGTGGTATTGTTTTTTCTAGGTTTAGCCTTTAGGTTTTACTTCATCCCCTAGATCTAACCGTCCATGTCCAATCTCAGCATCTCACCATTCATTTTGGTTTTTTGGTAGTAATAAAGGATCCAGAATGTTCATCTAGATCCAACGGTCTTCATTTTTTTTTTTGTGCTTTTCGAGGTCTTTTTGACCGTTTCTTTTTTTTCTTTAAACATATTATTATTATTATTATTATTATTATTATTATTATTATTATTATTATTATTATTATTTTGAGGTATTATTATTGTTGTTGTTGTTGTTGTTGTTGTTGTTGTTGTTGTTGTTGTTGTTGTTGTTGTTGTTGTTGTTGTTGTTGTTGTTGTTATAATTATTGTTATTATTATTATTGTTAGTATAATTTTTGTTAATATTATTTTTATTACTACTACTATTATTACTATAATTATTATTATTATTATTATTATTATTAGTTTATTACTTATAAATTGTAAGAAACGCAAATGTTTCAAAATTGAAATTGATTCAATACGACATAGTTAATGTACATCAATATTTGACATCTCTATATGTATATAACTAATTAACTTTATATATAAATATATCTGTGAGTCTGTGACTTTATATGTAATAAACTAATAACTTAATAAGTAATAAGACTAATAACTAATAAGTAATAACTAATAAAGTAATGAAATCTAACCGTTGTTTTACATGGGCATTCAATCTAACCGTTGTATATTTGACTATTTGTACATTGGTATTGCATAATGATTTCATCACCACTTTAGTGATTTTGTGATTTCGTCCATTTAACTTATCAAGTTGTTTGAGTTAGTAATCTAAATAAAGTAACAAACTAAATAACTAATCCATTTAATCTCGTGTAACTTATAAATTATAAGAAATGCAAATGTTTGGAAATTGAAATTGATTGAATACGATATTGTTAATGTATATGTATTATGTATATCATATGGTACGAATGTACGATTGGTATCATACTATCATTGCCTCATTGAATCATTGGTATGTACGTATAACCGATAAACATATCTGATTATTAAAACTTAAAAGTTTAAAACACTTGTTGATCGATCTAATTGAATACTTGTACTTTCTTAATTATCGATTTATCGTATTCTAAGTATCAACTCATTAAATCATGGTCATGACGCGATCTTTAAAACAATCATGAATTCATGACCCAAACCGCTTATAAACTGAACCGGCATGATCCAAATCGTTCATAAACCGAACCAATTGAGCTGGGTAAACCCTCCCCTAAACCGACCCATTTCAAACTGAACCGGCATAATTCGCACCGTTTATAAACCGAACCGACATTGACCCGGGTAAACCCACCCCTAAACCGACCCATTTCAAACCAAACCGGCTTGATCCAAACCGTTTGTAAACCGAACTGACATTGACCCGGGTAAACCCGCCCCCTAAACCGAGCTTGATCCGAATCGTTTATAAACCGACCCGCTTATGACCTAAACCGAATTTAAACCGTAAAGAAATAAACCGAAACCAAACCGAGTCGTGACTAACCCAAACCGAACCAAACCGACCCGCCAGCTAAACTAAACCGTTTCAATCCGAACCGCAACCGAAACCGACTCAAACCAAGGTCAAACCAAACCGCCAGATTGAAGTCCCACCCCTAATTTCTTCTTTAAAGTTACTGATTTTTACTTAACTGAAATTATTTTTACTGAACTTAAATTATTTTTATTAATATATTTTTTTTGGGAAAATTGTCAAGAATAATCCCAACTTTATCTCATCCGCCCAAAATAATCCCAATTTTGGATTATTTTTAAAAAATCCGAACTTTTATGTGAATTTACTTTCAACGATCCCAAGTGACTTGTAACCTATTGAATAGGTAATTTTTTTTGAAAAAAAAAATTAATTTACACGTTTCACCATGTGATTGGTCAAAAATAAGTTTTATAAATTTTTTTAAGAAAAAATTAAAAAAAAAATTAACACTTGACTAATTAATTTAAAACTAACTACTGTATTTTAAAAATATTAAAAAAAATAATTAAAAATAATTAAAAAAAAAAAAAAAAAACCCACCACCACCAGCCCCAGCCACCCCTTCTCGCCTTCCACCATTTGCCTAGCCCAGGCCACTATCCCCTCTGCCCCACGGCGCCGGCCGCATCCTGTCTCCCTTCCTCCGGCAACGGTGCCGACCCCTCCTCCCCCTTTATTGCGTTACCCCCCTTCCCCTGAACCCCTGACGCCCCACCCTCTCCCACAAACTGCCCTAAAAACCACCCTCCACCCTCGAAAACCCAAAAAGAAGACTTACAGACAAAGGGCATGAAAGTGAATTAGAGAAGAATAGCAGAATTCCTACGAAGAGTCTCATTGATAGGAGAATAAAGGACTGGTGAGATTCGTGAGAACAGAATCGACGGGGAATTGGTTCATTCGGAGGAGGGAGGGGGGTAGGTGGTTCGGGGGATGGGGGGTGACGCGCGAACAGGAGAGAGGGCTGGCGCCCGCACCGGCGCTGGGGGAGAGGGTCTGGGCGTGGCCGGCAGCGGGGGGTAGGCTGGCGGGGAGGGTAGGGTGGCTGGTGAGGACGTGAGGTGGTGTTTTTATAGTTAATTAATTAATTATTTATTTTTTGATTTTTCTTAAAATATTTTTTTACTAATACACGTGTCAAGTGACTTATTATAACAAGTTGGATGACCTATTGGGACTATTAGAAGCAAATTCGCATCAAAGTTCAAGTTGGGACTATTTTGGACAATTTTTCCGATTTTTGTAAGGTGAAGTAAACAAGGTTAACACAAAGAAATTTAGAAGACATAAAACTAAGTCTACAACTATTGGCTATACAAGAACATAGTTAAAGATATGATACTAAAAGACATCATCCGTACGATAATTATTGGAAAATTATTTTGAAATTAAACTATACCACTATATTAATAGAGTGTAAGAAATTTTGACAAATACAAGTTTTATTTAAACAATATAATTCTCGACAATGTATATGCAAAATAACAATCACGTTAATACTCATACAGTCATACTATACGTTAATATATTTTATTTATCTTATTTTATTTTATTTTATTTTATTTATTTATTTTTTACAAGAGAACCACACCTTTAATTGAGAAATTGAAGGCTCAAGAATCAAGCATTACAATTTACAGGATTAGAGACACTAGGGGAAACTTCTGTTAACCAAACTCTCGTCTCCTCGTATTCTTTACTTACATGAGCTAGTTTGTGTGCCACTCCATTCCTATTTCGGAATTCAATAGAGAGACACTCGTTGATGAGCGAGTACATCCTATTCGAAGTAACTCTTATTATTCTTGAAAGAGAGGGGCATTTGGTGATTTAAGATGAAAATTTATCTTTGCTAGATATATTTATAAAATTTATACTTGTGAAAAAAATTCATTAAATTATTCACTCCATTAAACATAAAATAAAATCTATTAAAATTTTATCCATTAATTTGGCATGCACTCCATTAAAAATAAAATAAAATCTGATAAATTAAAATCAAATAACCTTACTCCTCTATTTCAAATTGCTCCGTAGTTGATACTAATTCTTTTTTGTTGACATGTTTTTATTTGTGATAAGGAATCTTTCTTACCCCACACTACTGCCTAATCTTTCTTCTTCTTCACTAATACGCCCATTATCCCCATGAAAACCACTTGTCACAAAATGAGCATAAATCGATTGGGCGACGCCTAACCCAAACTCTTGATCTAGGCCAGGCTTATTCATGTGTGCGACAAACATTTCTTCCTTCCATAAGTAAGGAAATAACACATAAGGACACTAATGTCGTACACTAAGACACGTGCATTACTATAGGCACACATGCATAGAGAATCATATGGGCCGGGACTTGTTTCAGAAAACTTGACGCAGTACTACCTTCCTTAGCTTCCTTTGTTCTCCATGCACGCAATGGTTGCTACCTCCACCACCCTCTTCGCATTGTCGAACACTAACTGTTACTTATCACCATTGAAAACATAAGTATAGCAATATGAACTGACAAAGAAGTGGAAGGATGTTTTCCATTAATGGTGAGCTCGAATATTCTATACATGAGAGAAGAATCTAGAGAGAGAAAATGAAGGAGAAATATTTAGAGAGAGAAAGTGTTGTATTGAATGAATGAAAGGAAGCCAGTGTATAGTGGCTTATAAATGCCCTGTTATTACAATTGATAATAGAATTAAAAGCTTCTAACAACCTATGGCTGACATGGCATGAGTTTGTTAGGCTTATGTTGACGTGGCACGGGGTATTAATTCATATCCCCCCTCAAGCTTAAGGTGTGGGAAACATGCCAAGCTTGGACTTCAGAGCATTGAACTGAAGAGAAGGCGAAATCTTTGTCATAATGTCAGCTAACTGAGAAGTTGTGGGAAGGTAAGTAAGCTAGATAAGGCCTTCAAGCACCTTTTCCCTGGTAAAATAACAATCAATATTTATGTGCTTGGTCCTTTCATGGAAGACAGGATTCCTAGCAATGTGTAGTGCATACAGGTTATCACAGTGCCGGGTAATAGGTTTCAAATTAGTAATTCCAAGATCACCTAAAAGCCTGACCAACCAAGTGACTTTAGAGGCAGCAACTGCCATAGCTTTGTACTTAGCCTCGGAGGAAGATTTAGAGACAGTAGCTTGCTTCTGGGACTTCCAGCTAATGGGTGAGGAACCAAGCATCATGATGTAACCTGTAATTGACCTTCTACTATCAACAAAAGCAGCCCAATTAGAATATGAAAAAGCCTGTAATTTCAGATCTAAGCCACCCTTGAAAATGATGCCCCGACCAGTAGTAGATGCCATATAATTGAGAGTATGTATTAAGGCTTGCATATGAGATGATCTAGGAATCTGCATGAACTGACTTAGACAATGAATTGTGAATGCTAGATTTAGCCGAGTGTGTGTCAAGAAATTCAGTTTCCCTACAAGACATCTATAAGACAAAGGATCATCCAGAACATCACCATCATCAGAATTCAGCTTCAAATGCAATGGCAAGGGAGTTGCTACAGACTTGAAAAGCTTGATACCACTCTCTTCCAGAATTTCTCTAGTGAACTTTGCCTGAGACAAAGTAATGCAGTGGTTGTCATACCCAATTTCCATGCCTAGAAAATAACTGAGAACCCCCAGATCCTTAATGCTGAAAACATCGTGTAAATGCTACTTCAATAAAGTAATTTGAAGAACATCTGAGCATGTGATGATAATATCATCAACATACACTACAGCAATAGTCAAGTGATGATTGGTACTCTTAACAAAGAGTGAATAATCATTCTTGGATTGCACAAAGCCCAAAATCACCAATTTAAATTTCTCAAACCATTGTCTGCTTGCTTGTTTGAAACCATATAAGGACTTTCTAAGTCTACACACCTTGTTTCTAGGATTAGGAACACCATCTGGCATTTTTATGTATACTTCTTCATGAAAATCCCCATGCAAGAAAGCATTGTTCACATCAAGTTGGAAAATAGTCTAACCTCTATGAACAGCCAAGGCAATGATACCTCTGGCAGTGGCCATCGTAATGACTGGTGAGAATGTTTCTTCAAAATCTATCCCATATTTCTGGTTGAAACCCTTAGGCCACTAGCCTAGTCTTGAATCTCTCAATTGTTCTATCCTTTCTTAGCTTAATTTTGAAGACCTATTTACAACCAATAGCCTTCTTCAAATCTACCAAATCCCAAGTCTTGTTATTATCCAATAGAGCCTTGATTTATTTCTTCATTGTTAACTCCCAATTAGGATCACCAGTTGCATCTTTATATGTAGAAGGCTCTTTAAGAGGGAGAAAATTAGCTATGAAAGCTTTGTGAACAGAAGAGAAATGACAGTAAGAAACCATGTTGCACCAATGGTCTGAAACAACAGTAACACTTCCACAAAAATAGTCACCCATCCATTTAGGTGGTTTTCTATGGCTAACTGGCTGAGGACCAGGCATAGGAGTGGGAACAATATGAGACATATCAACAACACAAGATGAGAGGGGATTAGAAAGTAGAGAAGTAGAAGAAGAAGAAACAGAAGAAGAAGTAGAAGTAGAAGGAACAGATATAGACTGAGGTGTAGCAGGACTGTCTGGAATGTTAGTCATGGAATGAAAAACATTAGGAAATTCATCATCAAGAAAAGGAGAAGGATTTGGTGTACGGGATGGTAAAAAGAAAGGTGTAGGTGAGGATTGGGGTGTAGCAAAAATGTGAAATAGGAAGTGCTTTTCATGAAAATCAACATCCCTATAAACTGTAATCTTCTTAGTTGATAGATGAAGAACTTTATAACCTTTTTGTGTAGGAGAGTATCCTACAAACACACAAGGATCAGCTCTAGGCTCCAATTTGCTTCTATGTTACCTTGGTGTGCAAACATAACATAAACACCCTAAAACCCTTAAATGTTTAGGATTTGGTGTCTTCCCATACAACTTTTCATAGGGTGACATGTTGTTTAGCACTTGTAAAGGCATTCTGTTGATCAAATAGGCATCACACTATATACACTTACCCCAAAAAGAAACAAGAAGTTTAGATTGAAAATAAAGTGCTCTGCCAACCTCAAGAAGGTGTTTGTGTTTATTTTTGTTTCCACAACCCCATTCTGCCGTGGGGTGTCACTGCAGCTTGTTTTGTGTAATATAATCTTCTTGGTGTATAACAGCAAGATCTTTCCCTCACAAAGCTCATTGGCATTATCAGATCTAATTACTTTAACAGTAACATCAAACTGTCTCTTAACAAAAGTCACAAAATTGATCAAAATATCAACAGATTCAGTCTTGCATTTCATAAATGTACCCAAACACTTCTTGTGTAATCATCAACAATAGTTAGGAAAAGATACAGCTATTATGTGTTTTACACTGGTATGGACCCCATACATCCACATGAAGCATTTCAAATGGAGAAGTAGTCTTAATAGCACTACTAGAAAATGATTTTTTATGTTGCTTGGTTGCAGGACAAATACTGCAAATCATCTCATTACCCAATTTTCTACAATCTACTTTATTATGAGTCATGTTCAATTGACTGAAAGGAAGATGACCTAATCTAAGATGCAACAACTTTGCCTGTTCTAAAGTATTTGAACAAACAGAAGCAGAAAAAGGACTTGGAACAGAACCTGAGACAGAAGAAGCTGCAGCTCCATGATCCAAAGAAGCTTCTACAAAGTAGAGACCATTTCCAACCTTACCAAGAATAAGTGGTGGAATCAAAGACTGTTGATCTTGAACAATACATTGGTTAGTAGTGAACTCCACTGTACAACCTCCATCTTGACATAACTTGTGCACAGAGATGAGATTGAATTGAAAACTTGGAACACACAATACATTCTTCAATGTGATGTTGTTGCTTAGAATAACAGTACCTATATGGGTCACTTTTACTCTTGTTCCATAAAAAATTGTTATGTAATTGTTTTGATCATGTGCTATTTCATAAGAATCAAACATCTCCAGCTTATGACACATGTGATCACTGGCACCACTATCTACTATCCAACCACTACTATAAGTAGAAGATAGGAGACAATAGTTACCTGCAAACATAGCATTGGCATCCCCATTGTCTTATGTCTTTTGCTTATTTAGAGATGATTTCATCCGAGTCAATTCTTCCAGGGTGAAACTAGCAGCAAAATTCCTTAATTGCCTGATCAGAAGATTTAGTATCATCAAAACCAAAATTCACTTCAGCACAATTAGCATACTTCTTAGCACCGAAAACTAACTGATTCCCCTTAAATCCTGGTGGAAACCCATTCAACTTGAAACACCTTTCCATACCGTGACTAGTCATTTTGCAGTGATCATAATAATAATTGATTGTTCTTTTGCCTGCAGCATACTTGTTAGAGCCATTCTGATTGTATCCTCTTCCATAAGAACCAGAATTCCTATAATACTGACCACCTCTCTCATCAAATCTTCTTCTATTTGCTGCAAAAGCTACAGGTTCAGTAACTTTGTCAGCCATTGTGCTCAGAGCTCTATGTCTTTCTTCTTGTAAGACCGTTCTATATGCTTGAGCCAGAGTTGGTAGACTTGGCATCATGAGTATATTGGACCTCACATTGGCATAGTTATTTGTAAGCTTCATCAAGAACACCATTAGCCTCTGATCCTGCTATATGTTGAGATAATTCTGAGTCAAAGCACAACTATAATTGCTACAAGTACAAGAAGACAAAGGGAAAAGATTATCTAGCTCATCCCACAGTCTCTTAAGATGATTATAATACTCAGAAATGGACATATGATCTTGTGTAGCACCTGAAATGTCCTGTTGAAGTTCATACAACTGAGCAGAAGATGCATGACCAAACCTCTCTTCAAGATCCAACCATATTTCTCTAGCAGTTTCAACAAACAAAATACTGCCAGCAATTTGCGGGTTAAGAACAACAATTATCCACCCAATAATCATACTATTACACCTATTCCAGAGCTTCAAAGTCACAGCATCAGTTGGTTTAGGCAAAGTACCATCAACAAATCCCATTTTATTCTTTGCGCTCAATCCTATCACCATTGATCTCTTCTAATTACCATAACCATTTCCATCAAACACACTAGAAACAAGCTTCATTCCAATAAAATCAGAAGGGTGCAAATAATATGGACTACTTGGATCCCGATTAAGATATAAGACTGTGTTTGTACTTCCCATTTTGTCAAGAAATTACAAAATCAATCGAAACAATCAACTACTGAATATACTCACAAATCGCACAATTCAAGTAAGCGCAGAAATAAAGATCGAACAACCAATTCAAGGCAATCAACAGTCAATTCGATTAACAATCAGAAACACCAAAGAATTTTCAAGAAATTGCTAAAAAAAATCTGAGAAATAAGGTGGAATAATTAAATTACCAACAATCCGCCATTAGAACTGCTCAAACTACCTCAAGAGAAGCACCAAAATCGATCGCCCGTTCTAATACCATTTTACTTATCACCATTAATGACATAAGTACAACAATATGAACTAACAAAGAAGAGGAAGGAAGTTTTCCATTAATGGTGAGCTCGTATTTTCAGTACTTGAGAGAAGAATCTAGAGAGAGAAAATGAAGGAGAAATATTAAGAGAGAGAAAGTATTGTATGAAATGAATGAAAGGAAGCTAGTGTACAGTGGCTTACAAATGCCTTGTTATTACAATTGATAACAGAATTAGAAGCTTCTAACAACCTATAGCTGACATGGCATAAGTTTGTTAGGCTTATGCTGACGTGGCACGGGGTATTAATTCACACTAACTATACATGGTATAGAATAGGCGGTATAGTATTTGATTGGCGCGCAATAATAGTCAATGAATAAACAAAGGTTGAGACAGGAATAAAGAAATCAAACTAAACACACAAGGATTTACGTACGTGGTTCTGTCAACTAGACCTACTCTATAAGTGGGAGACATGAGAGCTTTATTCACTTTATTGGAGAAAACAAGATTGAGGAATATACAAGGAGTCTAGCTTCTAATGGCCATAATTTAATTTATAATTCAAATCTAGCTCAATGGTCCCTTCTATAACATAAAGCAACTTTAATAAACCCGTTAATTACTCTCCAAGTAATATGCTAGTAATTGCCTTGACCAAGTCGTATCTTAATGTAAACATGCATCGAATAATGAAGAACATAACACTTGGTGAACACCAGGAAGCAGAGCCACTAGTGTGCAGACGCAAGCCTTGGTACCTTGCATGGATGCACCCCTTTGAGTTATGCAACTGTGCAAAGCCTTATGTTTCTAAACTTTGTAATTATCTTTTCTGCGTCATAGACACGTTTAAATAAAACACACTTACCTATGAGTGGATATGAGTCACATAGAATAGTACACAACCATCAACCACCTCGCGTTCAATTCTTCACCCAACAACTCCACCCTCCTTCCTTGTTTGCCTCGACTTTCATCTTGCCTATTCACCACCTCTACCTTTCCCCCCTATTTTCTTCTCTACAACGAAACTAACCTTCACTATTATAAGCACTGGACGAATTCACCAAAATTAAGGATGAAGCATATCTGTGTTTTTGTCCAAAAGGTGATTTTTTTTTTTTTGCCTTTCTCTAACACGTACCATTTCTTAAAATTTGCAATTAAACAAATTGTGTCAATTAATATGAAATGGATAAAGCAGCCCATACTATTTTTTGTGAAGTAAATATACACAATTACTATTTATCCAAATTTGTGACAACATAATCTATGATTATTTATCCAAATTTGTGACAACAACATAATCTATGATTATTTATCCAAATTTGTGACAACAACATAATCTTTTTGCAAGCTAATGTTAGGCAAGGAATAGATACTATAAAAAAAAGCAAAAAAACCCCCTCCAAGAACTCTCAAAGCTAAGCATTGGTAGTGGAAACTTTATTAAAAAAAAATGTTTGGCTTGTTATGGTAGAAGACGTCCTTAGTATTATTATTAATATTATAATACAAGCATATAGGCCACTATCACCAGCACCTCCACCCTCACTTGTCCACTTGCCTCTCTTACTGCGTGCAACCACTCTTAACTGTTTGTGGGCCTGATGTCACCGCGCACCTGAACTCAACGTGTCCATGTTAATACCATAGATTTAACTCCGACTGTACCATAATCCACTTACTGCTCTCTTTTAATCGCAACGTGAAAGATGTACTGATTTTGAAAAGATAGAGTAGAGGGAGAGAGAGTGACGGAAATTAGAGTAAACCTATGTGATAAGAAGAGACAGAAAATCGTTGGTTAAGTAAATTAAACTTGCTAAATTGAAACTAAAAGAGAATCAGAAAAGTATTATATAATTTAAATTTGATTAATAGTTTGTTTAAATTATTTTTAGTAAACATAAGCAGTTTAAAACTGAATCAACTCACTTTGAATGTGGCATTTTATTTTGGTATGACTTAAAATAGAAAAGTGACTATGTATACGTACATATATTATATATATAATTCAATGAGAGTGAGGGATAGGTAAAGTGGTTAGAGCTTTCCTCCCGATCCCAAGAGCTCCTAGGATCGATTCTCACCCTGCCCTTGTGGCTCTCTAAACACTAAAAAAAAAAAAAAACATATATATAATCCAATAATATCACAATATGTAGTTCTTGGTAGCAAATTTCTCAGTTTACTCTATTATACTCAAGTCTTGAGTGGTAGATTATCATAGAATATATGCGTGACTTGTTCATCATTGGTTTTTAGGAATAATGTTAGGTTTTATAATGCTTAAAATAGTCTTATACTTATCATAAAAAAAATGAAAATTCCAGATGATGAGAATTGTAGGCCGTACAAATTCCTTTGCCTGCCACCAATATATAATTACGCGGCGTAGGGTAAAACACTAATACTGGATTAGCCTCAGGATAACATAGTTATATTTATTTGTTAAAGTTAAGGTATTAAACTGGTACAGTATACAGTAGTTATTAAATGGTTAATTTACGTAAGCAATATTTGTTGTCCGACTATTGGACCAAACATACATGCTAAACTTCCATATAGATAGAGCTCGCATTTGATTAAACTAAACACCTTACGAGTACATTCGTTTCATAACATTTAACGTTCACTGTTTGCACAAAAATTAAAAAAAAAAAAGAGGAAGAGAGTGTAACAAAAGATAGGAGGATGTAAGAAAAAGTAGATAAAGCAGGAGAAAAAGTGTAAGAAGGTGATCAATTCGTTGATATAAGAAATATATATGGATAAAGTAAGAGAGAATGGATGAACATGTGTAAATATATTTGTGTAATACCGTAAGAGGGTTAAGTAGTAAATTACATACATAGTATGTTAAAAACATTATATATGAAGCTGATGAAAACGAAATATGTTATAAATATTATGAAAACGAAATATGTTATAAACATTATGAAACGAAGCTAATTATTGTCATCTTACTACTTCAAATTTCGATCACTTATAATGACATAATTAACGTGATACACTACCCATAAACGTATTAATAATTTTGGACCAAGGGAGTAACATACATATTAGATCTATCAAAGTAGCTTAAAAAAGTGGCGAGCTGGAAAATTGTTTAGTTTATTGCAGGAATTCAGGGACTAGAAGTTAACCCAAAAAAAGGCCAAGTTATGTTACACCCATAAAGCTAAAACTCTTATAAAGTAAACATAATTATCTTACAAAAGTAAATCAGTAGAACTAATTATAGATTGGTTGGAAGATTCAGCTCTAAGATGAGCAGTATTACAAGGAACATCTTCCAAATCTCTTAATCCATTATAAGTAGTAGCTAATTGCATGCTACTAATTATTTGTCGAAGATCAGACGCTTCTTCTTTAAGCCTAACATTTTCTTGTAAAATTTTATCATGACTTTCTGATACATGATTCAACTTATCAATAAGATTACTATTTTCATGTCGAAGTCGAATCACCTGTGACCAAAGCTCATCTAAGTGTCTTTGTTTCCTCATTCGAGACCTACGAGCAGATTCTCTGTTCGATATCATCCTCCTCTGCCTCCTCTCATCGATGATCTTATTCGTCTGTTGAATTTCGTCTGATTCATCTGATGTCGAGTTGCTACTCATGTAGGCGGGGGAGGAAGATTGAGTGATTGGAAAAGTATTATAAGACGATCCACTAATGAGATCATTATTGGTGATCATATTTGCTGCTACTTGTTGAAGATTATTTTGTTGTAATAAGGTTAAGTTAGGTGAAAATTGGTATGGAAATTGTATTTCTGGAGTGGATGTTAGGTAGTTTATTCCTATCATCTCACTTGGATGCATAGTAACTATGAAAGCTTCGAAATACAATATGATATGATATGATATGATATGAAATGAAAATTCGAGAACAATGTGTTTTAGGGTGTGTTGTGTTGTGTGAATGGTAATTGGTAATGGAGAAGCATGGTCTAAGAGGGAGAGGTTTATATAGGCAAAAAATCGACTATGTTCGTGCACATAGAGGGAGGCTCGCGCATACGTAAGCACACAAATAAAAGTAAATAAAAAAAATGTGTTTGTTTGAAATTGGAAAGCAAATAAATGAATATGCGTGTGCATGTTTTTGATTAAAATTAATTTATCCAATAATAATCGAAAGTTACGACAAAAGGAACACTGTTTTTTTTGCTTGATGTTCTCCTACAGCAATCTAGCTTGTATGATTGGAGCATCTAATGCTAATATAACCTATTTGCATATTATGCGAATAATATAATATATAAATGTTTTTTGAGGTGGAAAAACTGAAAAAGTCAATGAGTAAAGATTAGTCATGATAAAAAATACTAATATAATGTTATATTTTATTGATTTTTGAAGACCTATTGAGACTAATTATATGGGTGATGACGCTTGATGAAAATGAGTTTTAGACGCAAATGGATATATATATTAGTGATCAAAGAGAGTCTAATTAAATAGTTAAGCTTTTTTAGGTTACGTTTTTGTTAGTTTATGCATTAGTATGGATGAGTCAGATGATCACTTAATTAAATTAATTAATTGGATTATTACACCAGGTTGTTATGTTACTCCGTAGTACTAAGTTAATTGTACACGCGTGAGACAAATTTATAAGTAAGAAGTAACTATTAGCCACCGGTAGTCAATGAACGCACATATTTAATTTGATCATTGATATGAATTACATACTAGTAATTTAGTAAAAGATATAAAAAAATTAATACTCGTAAAAACATTTATTAGTGAAACAAATCAAACAAGACCTTATCAAATGATTATAATTTTATCCTATATATATTTCATATTTGAAGTTATTTTAGAATATATTTCCTCCCTTTTTTAATAGTTGCAACACACATTATTCCGGTCCAAATCCTCTATCCCACTTTTGTATCCTATTCCATGTACTGCTCAATTTTATTGGTCCACATCATTTTAACTATCTATTTTCTTAATTCAATTTTTATATTAATTATATTAATAGCAAATAAAATATAATTTACATAATTTATTTTCTAGTTCCTATCCTTTTTTTTTAATGTATAGAATTATGTTTAATAGTATTCAACTCAATTAATTTTTATTTTCTTTTATACTACCTCCATAACTTTACAAAAACCTTAATTATTTTTTTATCACCTCAATCCATTTTTTCTCTAATCGCATCCATAATTCATAAATATCAAAGCACCAAAATTTCAATTTAATTGATACTCCACGAGAATTAATTTTGTTTTCTGGTCATATCCAACTTTATCGAATCGATGATATAATTTGATTGTACTAGTGTTGTGGAAATTGTTGTGGGTGAATCCAATGGCATGAATAGTGAGAGCATGGATGGCTTAAAGCTACCATTGAATCATAGGTAGAAAGATTATTATGTTAAATTTGTGAAAAAATAAATAAATAAACAAAATGGAGTTGAATTAAAAGTAATTGTATACAAAAAAAAAAAGGACTAGAATTTTAATTATGTAAATTCTTTTTAATTTTATTTGCCATTAATACATTAACATAAAAATTAAATCAAGAAAATAGAATGTTAAAATGACGTGAACCAATAAAATTGAGTGGTACATGAAATGGGACACAAAAATGGGATAGAGGATTCGGACCCCACTATTTCACGGTATTTAAAAAGTGGGGGTTTACATGATAAAATTCTTTAAAATGGGGTCAGTGGTTATTAAAGTAAAATATAGTGGGCCATGTACTTTAAATAAGGGATATAGTTCAACTTTTTCTCAAAATAACTTTTCAATTATAGTGTGTTGTAAATATTGTGACATTTTCACTTTAGAGAAGTGTTATAATTATTAAAAAACGAAAGAAGTATATTCACTTAAATCATAAATAGTTGCAACATTTCAATAAAGAATAGCATTAAGAAATAGGGGGAGTAACGAGTTATTTTGATCATATAACAATAATAATCATTAATAATCGGTCTTATACAAGAATTTGCTTATTTGGGAATTAGAAATAATTTTATCTCAAAAGGAGTCATTTTCAACAACAAAGGTAGGTATATAAGGTGCCAAAAATGGGGGCTTTTCATGCAATTTCGTTTGTGGTGTTTTCTTGAATGCGTTTAGGTATTGGAAATTGGAAAGCTAAAGTACCCCATCTCCCAATTGTTGTTCAACTTGCTATTTCACTTGTTTTTTCTTGTCTTTTTTAAATTGGTGATTTGCAAATTGAAAGAACAGAAAAGTAAGGTTGTTTAGCTTCCTTTGGTATTGACTACTGAGTTACTATAAAGTTGCCAAAATAGACCTGTTTCTTGACAATGAAATAAAGGATCTTAGCCTATTTGTAATTTCGAATCGTGGAAGCAAATTTGGGATTTTTTTAATTTGATTTTTTCCTCATTTGTACTTACGAGGAAGAGAGTTTGTAACATAGGAGAATATGGGGAAATCATATTCTTCTTCCAATTTAGGCCTCGTTTAGTTAAGGTCAATCGTTCCCAAGCTTATTACTTATTCGGGTGGTTGATGTTTTTACGGTTACATTGTCTCTATCGTACGAGTATCATTATACCCCCTCACTAAATAATGCTAAACAAAATAAAAGTGGGTACCACACAAAAAAAATTCAATGAGATCAATTGAACTAATTGACATCTACCTCTTTGAACGCTTATTTTTAATACATTGTTTTTATGGTGTTTTAGTTGAAGTTTTATTTGAAATGATGAGCTAGATTTTTTGACATTAAGGTTAAAAATGATTATTATTAAATAAGTTTTCTCAAAAAAAAAATATTATTAAATAAGTCAAATGTCACTTATCATTTAGTTAAACATCACTTATCACATACTCCGTAGCAAATTGCCTAATAAAATCTAGTATTTAAAATCTCAGAGCAAATGACTTAAAATGAAACTCATGTCTTCAGATTTCTCAACAAAACGATCTGCAACATACAAAGACAAATTATGTATGCTGGTTAGTAATTCGTTGCAAAAGTATGATATATGTATTCTCACAAAACATATGTCTGTAATCACTCGTTCTTGTGACTCTCTTAACAAAAAAAAAAAAAGGTTGTCACATATGATAATCGTTCATATAAATAATAATGCCTCTATTAAATTATTGTTTGTACGTCATATCTAAGACAAATTATTTATGCAATTATATGCTAATCAGTGATAACTTAATGCGATTATTGGCTTCTTTATATTTTTATTCATTTATTCATAGATATATTTATTGAGAAAATAGCCTGTCGTTTCCTACATTAATTTTTGGACATGGTCGTTTGCCACTTTAGCAAACGTATGTGCATTTTTCATAAAAGTGGAAACGGAAGCAAATCAACGTGCACTTTCGCATACTCGAAGAGTCATGTAAGAGCTAGCCAAATTTAAGGTCGGTAAGTCCATTTAAACGCTCGCACAATCACTAATAGAATCCGGGTAAATTACGACAGTTTGATTACGACGGTCCATAAAATGTCGCAAAATTTGAATTTTACAACAGCTTTTACTAGTTGTCGTAAATTTACGACAGTTTTATGCCCCGTCGCAGAATTACGACAGTTTTAGACTATTTAAACCGTCATTGGGTATCTAAAATAAAGGTAAAAAAATTAAAATACCTACGACAGCTTAAAACTGTCGTAAAAATGTTACATTACGACAGTTTACAATACCGTTGTTAGTAGCGATAGCTTTTAGCTGTCGTAAAAAATATTTTAAAAAAATAAATAAATACTGGTGTAAAACCCTTCCCTCTCTTCCAATCTAACCCTAAAATGTTGATAGCCGCCCCATCCTCCTCTATCTTTTCTTTCTCTCTTCCTTCTCTTTCTGCTTCCATCTCCTCCTTTCATCTCTCTGTACTTCAATCTCCTCCTCTCATCTCTCTCTTTGCTTCAATCTCCTCCTCTCATCTCTCTCTCTGCTTCAATCTCCTCCTCTTTTCCTTTCTCCTTTCTCTAATAAGATGTTTAAGCTTTTTCATCTTTTTTCTTTTTTATTATCTTTAATTTTTTTGACGAGTTTAACTTGATTTGACCATGAAATTTAACCTAGGTTACGAACTACACCATATATCGACCATGGTTTCAAAGCTAAGAGTTTTTAGGTCAAATTCGACCATACATGAAAATTCCAGATCTGGAGTTTTCATGGTCGAATTTGACCAAGTGAGCCCATAGAAGATGAAATTTGGGATAGGTATGTTGATTTTTGTGTAATTTTTGTTCTTGTAGTTGTGGTTTATATTTATTTTTGTTTTTTTTTGGAGTATTTTTCTAATTATGTTGATTTATTTTGTTATATACGGTTTTAATGGCTGATTTGGTTGTTATTTTGTCGTTTAATTTCGATTTTCTTGGTTGATTGTTGTTTATTTGAAGTTTATTTCGATTTTTTTGGGTTTATTTCGTTTGATTAACTTAAATATTGTTTTTGGACTTAAATTTATTATTGTTTGTGTTTGTTTTCATTTATTTTTGTACAATTTGAGGAATATTCAAGTACTTGTACTTTTTATTTCTAGATTTTTGATTTTTTGGGTTTAATTTCAGATCTTGGATTTTTTGTGGGTATTTTGTGTTTTTCTGGGTTAATTTGGTGGTTTACGGTAGCGGTGGGTGGTTTGTGATGGCGGTGGGTATTTACGTATTTTTAGGGTTTAATTTGGTGGTCTGTGGGTGGTGGTTTGTGATGGCAGTGGGTGGTGGTTTGTGATGGCGGTGGGTGGTGGTGATGGCTTGCGGTTGGGCTACTGTGGGTGAAAGGTTTGAAGTAGGGCTGTTGTGGCTGGGTTCTTTTCTTTATTTTTTTTTCTTTTTTTGCGACGACTATTGCGACGACCGACCGTCAATAAAGTTAAATTTTACGACAGTTTTTTTTGATGTCGTAGTTTGTGATGGTTTTAAGATGTCGTAGAGTAATTATAGCGGCAAATTATAAAACTGCTGCTGAAATTAGTAAAAACCATCGTAATAATTTTTACAACAGTCAAACTGTCGTAAAAATGAAATTTTACGAC